CAGGAGTTATTTCATTCTTTTAAAAAAAGAATCCTTTCTATAATCACTTAAGGCAGTGGTTCTCAACCTTCCTAATGCCGCAACCCTTTAATACAGTTCCTCATGTTGTGGTGACCCCCAGCCATAAAATTGTTTTCGTTGCTACTTCATAACTGTAATTTTGCTACTGTTATGAATAGTAATGTAAACATCTGATATGCTCTATGTGTTTTCCGATGGTTGTGACCCACAGGTTGAGAACTGCTGACTTAAGGTTTGATATGGATTTGGGGGAACTGCCATTTCTGGTCACTTTATTATATTTTTTAGCTCCATATTACAGTCTATACCACAGTCATTATCTAAGTGTTTTAAAATTGCAGATATCTCTGCCATGTCTCTTCCATCCCTCCATAGCTATTGAATTATAATATGGATTGCCTTTAGATTTTAGAATGTCAAAATAAACCTAAATTTTTATCGCTGATATCAGGTAATTGGGTTTTGGATGTATGTAGAGACTTGTAGGATGCTGATTTCTGCATCTTAGATGCTTATATATAGTGACGTTTAATTCTAGTGCTCAAAAGAGAGAACAAAATAACAGAAAAACAATAAAACACACAAAAAATAATTATAGTGCTCAAATATTCTTGTTTCATATGTAATTTGAATTTAACCGGTTTTGTGAGTTAATTATACAATTTATGTGTGGACAAAATGGTTCCGTGTGTGTTTGTCTGCTATATAATGTTGTTCTTTTGGATTATTATATCAGTGATATTTTAAAAAATTCAGATAATTCAGATGAGCATTAGAATCTATTTGATTACTAGCTTAGAGTCCCAAATAAGCAAAATATTATCTTCTACAAAAAGGATTCCATGTTTCTCACTAGTAGACCCATATTACAAAAAAAAGTATAATATTGCCTGACTTGGTCAATATTATTTGCCATGATATTTAGTAATGCAGAGCTAAATCAGAGATACAACTCTCTTATAGCTCTCCTGTTTTGTGATGAGAAAATCTTAACTAGAAATATTCCCAAATTGAGGCGTATAAATAATGCAGAGGATGCCATCTTCTTACTACTGGGTTGCCCTTATGTATAATCTATCTATTTATGTATTTATTTTAAATCTTTATTGTTGAAAGTATTACATATGCCTCCCTTTCCCCCCATTGACCACGTCTAGCCCACTCCTGTCCCCATTCCCACCCCCCCAGACCTTCACTACCCTATTGTCTGTATCCATGGGTTATTTGTATATGCATACAAGTTTTTTGGTTGATCTCTTCCCATCCACCCACCCGCCCCCGCCTTCTCTCTGAGATTTTTTGTTTTTAATGATCTATGAAAAACTACCCAACTTGTTTGATAATACCAACAGTTATATCATTTTGTATTTTATGGGTAGGTGACCTGTTATCTTCTGTAATGTTATTCAAAGGATTAAACTTGCTCTAGTCTATTGACAGTCAATGTATGTAGCAACTCTTCTCTGCTCATTAATGTCCCCTAAACGTGTCTTCAAGGTCATGGAGCAGACTCGGTGCTCTAATAGCAGTTTCCTAAGTAAGCATTTAGGGGGGATTCTGTCTTCCTGCCTTGATACTGATTGTTAGCACCACCTCATATCAGAAGTATTCTTAAAATGAAAGAGGGAAACTCCTTTTCATTGACAGATCAGGAAGTGGTTTTGATTATAAGTGTTTTGGAAAAAGGTTTTAGATAACATGCTTTAGTTTCACTGTGATGGGACATAAATTACTCAATAAGCCTAAAATGTTTTTCTCTCTATATTTGATTCTGGCTTGTGTTAAATGCATCCGATATTATGATATTAAATTTGTCTGTTACTGTGTTTCTTTTCTCTTGCTCTGCTATTTACACTTTTCTTTGTCCTGCTATTTCCTTTTCTCTGGCTTTCTATAAGTCAGGTTAGGTGAAAGTTTTCATAGGCAAAGTACAGAGTTAAAACAGTTGTGGAATGACTGTTTATTCATAATTCTAGGATTCCTGGGAGTTACAGTTATCAGCTCTCAAGAGATCCTTTAATTATAATGTTAACATGTTACTTTTGAAAGAAATTGAAATGGACAGACATGTGGTTGAATTGGGGTTTGTCCTTGTATTTTTGTCTAGCGATAGTCTAGCAATGGAGTATCTTGTCTTGATATAGCAGACTAAAATTTCTTTTTTAAAGGTTCGAGGTTCTTTTAGAGACTTGTACTTTGATGAATACGAATAGCATTGGTTTGTGGAGTATTTTTGGCATATTAGTCAAGATTCTAATGTGAACTTGGGCTTACTTGAAGATCTAATATATGAGAAAGTTGGCTTCATTGATTGCTAGAGGAATTTTACTTAGCTCATATTGTTGTAATGAAGCTAATATATTCCTATATGTATAAATACATGCATATATTTTTCCTGTTAAAATTCCACTCACAGACATTTTATATTCTACCATACTTTTACATTGTCTGGGGTCTTTTTTTCAGCACTGTTTGACAGTTGTTTTGTACGGTAGAAAATTATTATCATTATTATTATTAATTTTTCAATTATTTCTTAATACGTCCACCTCTTTCATCTGTCCCTCTGGATTAAATACAAATAGGTAGTTACAAAATAGTCATGGGGATGTAAATGACAGCATAGGGAGTATTATAATAACTGTATGATCCCAGGTAGGTACTGGAAATATTGGAGGGGACACTTTTTAAAGTATATGGTTGCCTAACTCTTCTGCTGTATACCTGAAAATAATACCAAATAAAATTGAAAATTCTTATAGTTTATCAGTAAGTCATTATAGAAAGTCTTAAGTATCTGTGACTTGTCCCCCTTTTAGGGATATGCTTAAAAATGTTTAAAACAGTATAGAATCTTACTTGGCTTTTTAAAAAGTATAACAGTATAGAAGTAAATGGAGGCATTTTGTTCAAGTTGCCACCATTAATCTGGTATCAAGATAAAACTAGTAAATTCAATTTGCTAACTTAATTATGCAAATTAGTGACTAACTTTTCATAGATCAAGTCTGTGGCCAGCCTTGATCTATGGAAAGTTTTTGTTAATAAGGTTGCTTTTGTTTTGTTTTGTTTTTTAATATAGCTGCAGTCATTGATTTACATGTTTTCTATGGCTACTTTGACACTAGCAAGGCAGAATTGAGTAGTTACAACAGCTAATCACTGCAGTACATTGTTTTTTCTCATTAGGGTGGTGTGCAGCATGTTACCTTGATACATTTACATTTAATAAAACACACGTATTTTCATTGATTTCAGAGAGGAAGTCGAAAGAAGAGAGAGAGAAACATCAATGATGAGAGAGAATCATTGATTGTCTGCCTCCTGCACACCCCTACTGGGGATGAAGCCTGCAACCAGGGCATGTGCATTGACCTGGAATTGAACCATGACCTCCTGGTTCACAGGTTGATGCTCAACCACTGAGCCACACTGGCGGGGCAGATTTGTATATTGTATTATGATTGCCATTGTAGCCATGTTTACCACATTACATAATTATAGTTCACTGTTATTGTCTATATTCATTATACTATGCATTAGACCCCTGGCTTATATACTACTTGTTACAAGTTTTATGCCCTTAAGTACTATCAGTCTTCTCATCACCCATCCCCTGGTAACTACCATTTTACCCTCTGTTTGTTACAGGCTTGATTATTTTTTTGCAGATTTCACATATAAGTGATATAACACAGTAGTTACCTTTTCTCTGATTTATCTTGCTTAGCATTCTCTGCTTACGGTTCATCCATGTCATAAATGGCAGGATTTCCTTTTTCTCAAGGCTGACTAATATTCCATGGTGTATATACTGCATCTTTTTATAAATCCATCCACTGATGGGCATTTGGGTTGTCAGAGTATTTTGAGGCCTTTTCTCCTGGCCACCCCACCTGGATCCCTAGCTATTAAGTCAGCTTCTACCTAGTTTTCCTTCAGCTATCCTTGTCCCCACTGCAAACCTGCTTCCTTATATTTGACTCCCAGAATCATCCTTCCAAAATTGAAATCTTGACTACATTATTTCTTAAAACCCAGGCACCTCCTGCTCTCTCTTGCTGACTCTCATGTTGTTTCTGACATACTGTACTAGTTGCCCGTCATTTCCATTTTATGTCTATGTA